TTAATTTTGCATGTGCACGTTCACTATGAATGACTAATTCAGTGTAACAACGTTGACACGCCACACTGAAACGCAAAACAGCATCGCCTTTTTGGATGTGGAAGTTTCACGTCGAACCGATGGGTCAATCAGAAGATCTGTGTACCGGAAGGGTACATGGTCCGGACAATATCTCCATTTTACTAGCTTTGCTCCAATGGTTTAGTTCGAACGCTCTTCTGCAGAGCGCGGCTGATTTGCACAACGGATACATTGGATACCGAATATGAAAAGATCAGAAAAGTNGCTGCCTGATTACCAAGCGCCTAAAATTGGCCGTTGAGCGCACCTACTACGCAGCTGACCCCATTGTTATCTTTATAACCGTCCGGTTACCAATACCATCGGTGAAAGAACCGCTCTCCCCACGCCAAATCTAATTGTATCCATCAGTTCAAGTGTGGATGCTGGGCCATCTACAGTATATTGAATGGCGGACGCACAACCCGAATTTCATCCGAACGCAATGCGAGTGATGGTACGCAAGGAATCTGATTTCGTAACCGGGTGAATACCTCGGAATTCAGGCGCAATCCTCATTTCATTCGTTCAGCCACAAACTTGAAAAGCACTGGATTTGGGTTTCGAGTTTATCGAGGCTATTTACTATATTTGGTCAACAGAAAATGTTCGGTGGTTCAAATTGATATCGAAGTGAGAAGTTCGCCTACACCGCTATGCGTGTGGATGAAATTAATGGCACCATCCGCTCTATTAGGATCAAAAATCCGACAAGGCACATAGGGACGTTTCCTTGTCGATGGGACATTGTGTTCCTGAATTCATCTGTACAAATAGCAGATGAGGGCAAACCCCATAGTCATGAGGATCTGTTGTTCTCTCATGGGAACAGGCAAACTAAGTTCCGGAATTCGGAGTGACGAACTAAGTAAAGCTGTTTACCATCAAATTTGGTGGGATATTGTGTTTCTGAGTTCATCTGTGGCAACCAAAACTGAGAGGGCCCCCCAATTGATTTTCTCTTTATTGAGAGCCAAAGGAATGCGGAGGAAGCGATACAGATTTTCCGCCATTAATATTCGGACCGTAGGTACATTAAAGTTGCACAAAATGATAAGAATACTGAAGAAACAGAATCAGTCAATTACAGGAAAAAATTGCAATCGATTGAGATTTGGTGTCTTGGAAATTGGTCGAAACGAGTTAGAATCAACCATTGCACATTATCCTGTATGTGGTGTTCATACACACCTTGTATTTTTCCTATCGTCCTGGTGCTTATTTCGCTGCGTGCTCAACCGACGACTCATGGGATGTGGAGTTGACGGGGATAATGATTTCGACACCCGAGTGGCGATAGACCGCCTGGTAGGGATGTAAAAAAGAAGAGCACAACTAACGAATTTGAACAACAAGGATAACAGCCGTGCTTGCAGCAGCGCGCTGTTTTTATTGCACACCCTGTATGTGTGTAATGAACAGCAGATGAGGGCAAACACCATAGTTGTTCTCTCATGGGAACCGGCAAACTAAGTCTCGGAATTTGAAGTGACAAACTATATAAGTTACGAGTGATATTGAGCCGGAATCCAGTAAAGCTGCTTAACACCAAAGTTGAGTAACGATGTCCGGGTTCGAACCTGGGACTCTAGGGCCCAAAGCACACTGGTGATGGTGACTTGGGCCACTTGACCATCACCACCACAAAAGTCCGACGCGCAAAAAAACTGTCACATTTCCAACCAGTCCCAGTAACCCAACGAACAACAAGACGAGCAGGATCGATGTAGTGGTTGCAGCAAATATACTTAGGCATACAGCATTGAAAATCACAAGATGCCTGTTTCTTTTGTCTTTTTCCTAAAGAGACCAGGATGAATTGATTCACTGTGAAAGTGAATCGGAGATGGTTGGTGGATGTCTGTTCAGGGGTTGAGAATCACCGAACTCAAATACACAGACACGCCCAGATATTAAACTGAAAAGAAAAGCAAATGGGGTAGACTATCGGAGAGAGAGAGGGCTGACTGACAGCAGTCAGTGCATATGTGGGTAGAGGGGGGGGGGGGGGACGTTGGAATAACCC